TGAGCAGCCAGCCCCAGAGGGTGCAGGTCCGCGCCAACATTCTCCACGCTGTGCTGGACGCTCCTATTCCCTTCAAATAAAGATGGGTTATGCTTATTAAGGAAAAAAAAAGTATTTTTGAAGTAGCCGGGCCACATAGGTCAAACATGCTAAAGGCCTCCAGGAGCGCAAATAGACAAGTCTGCAGACAGACTGTCCCACGTGAGCGCCGGATAAGCACGAACACTAGGCACAGGGAGGTGAACGCCTGCACTCTACCTTGAGGTAGCAGCCAGCAAAGTTCCTGGGCAGAAATGCCTGCAGCCTCCGTTACTGAGCTGGGCACACGCCAGCTACCTCACCTTTGCCGTTCAGCCCCTCACAGTGAGCTGGGGAGAGACTGTACAAGTTCCTCTCCACATCCCCATCTCACCAAAGGACCTCTCAGACAGCAAATGCTCAATCGATGCTTTGTGGGTTAAATGAGAACATTCTACCTTTTTCTACAAACAAAATTTACAATGCTATCTACTAAACAAAAGACACGTTTGTGCCACCACTCACGATCTCCCATCAAGCACAGGTACATACTTGGAGAGCATCCACAGCAGGCCCCGACGACGCAAAGATGGGGCAGCATTGCCCTCTTGGGGCGCACAGCCTTGCCGGGCAGCAGGAGGCATGGCTGCAGTTCTGGGAAAGCGGAGAGCAAGGCCAGGGGCCGGCAGAGCAGGTCCTAGGGAGCAGCGGGCACCCCACATGCCATCCCAAATGTGGTCACTGCAAGGAGCCAGAGGAAGGAGACTTCTCTCTTGCTTGATTTCAAATCTGCCTTAAAGAGCAGCTCACTGTGACGCGTGGACAGCGGTGAGAAGTGGGAGGAGGGAAAGCCTAGAAACCAAAGCCACATGTGGAAACAGCCCCCAGATGTGAGTTTTTAAACACCAGCAATGATGATGCTAACAACCCCAAAGACACACCAACCTTCTTGTATTTCCATCTCTGTGAGCTCCCAAAGGCCAGCCCTGGTCTTCTCTGCAATGGTATTCATTCATCTGATGGACCAGCATGCCTTTAAAAGGCTGACACCAGAGGCCCACCTGTGGGGCTGACTTCCGGGGTGCCCTCGGACAATGGAATGCAAACTCCAGGCACACACAGCACGACAAAGCCGAACACCGAGTCTTCAGGAGAACAACTCACAGAAGCGCCTGGTGCTGCTGCCTGCGTGCCAGGGCACCTCCCGAGGCACGCTGGGCGGGGCTGGGCCCTGCTGGTTCTTGAACTCACCCTGGAAGCAGCTCCTATGGTTCTCACAGTGGTTTCCGTTTTCGAGGCAATTAACACCATCACTCTGTGTGTCCCTACACATGGACAAATCTTCAATACTGTTTGCAATGACTAACTTCAATGCAAACACTCCTCAGACTCAGCCCCTTTGTGACAGACCTGATAAGGGCCACCTGAAACTCATTTTGCCAGCAAAATGAATTCACTCATTACAATTTACTGATGACATGTTTGTGAAGCCCAGTTAGTAACTGGGAATCAACACGTAGGAGACCAGGCCCCGGGCTGCGTGGCCCTCACACGTTAGCAGGTGACATGATCAAGTCAGGGAAGTCCAATAACGAGACAGGTGAGGGCGCAGAGCTGCCTGGAGCAGGGGGACGATGCAGCTAGGAGACAGGGCGGAGGCTGCCGAAGCCACATCTGAGCAGAGACCCGTATGGAAACGAGTGGCAGGGGTCTATGGGCACAGTCGAAACGACACTCACTCTACACAGGTTGACTTGGGCGAATCCGACTTATCTAACATTTAAAATCACTTTCTACTTCTATCAGTCCAAATAAATCTGCAAAATAAAGATACAGGTCAATGAAATTCTGTAATGACTTCATTTTCAATCACATCTACACATAATCCAGTCAAACACCTCCCCTCTCAGTACTAAGTGAACACTAGTCAATTCTAAATACCAACAATCAAACTTTAGATTGTTTTCCAGTTTTATCTTTGCCACACTAAAATATATTGAAAAACTAAACCAGCAGATGGCGCTCAATAACCTGCCGAGTTCTTGGCACTGAGCTGTTTCAGAGCTATTCTCCCTCATACTGAGAAAGAATCTTGAAACTTCAACTGGAAAAGGAATCAAGTTACAAAAAGTTTGGAAATCACTTCGTGCCTGATCCCCTTTATTGGGAAGCCTTCTTTAAAAAGAAAAGTTTTTTAAAAGAAAAGTTTTTAAAAAGAAAAGTCTAAAACAGTTGCTTGAATTTTTAAACTTTTTTTTTTTTTCAAAAATTCTAAGAGCATGAGGTTGTATTTTGTTTGTTTCCACCCAGCCACTCTGCACACATTAAGGAAAGCGTAGCTGGTGGGTGGGCGGGTGCTGACTGTGGCTTAAATAAGTAAATAAATAATAAAATAAAGTAAAAAGCACAACAGCTTCTTCCCCTCTCACAAATGCTTCGCAACTCTCCGGAACTGCAGAGTAACTCGGTCAACATTTAAAGAGTTTCCCCTTTGCTAAAAGGCCTGATATTCAGGCTTGTTGTTTTTTTAAGACAGGATCTTTATTAACGGCTGACAGAAATATGATGAAGGAACCGAAGGTCATGAGATAACCCCCCTCCCCGGCTCCCCCGCCTGTCTCCCAACCTGAGCAGACACCAGATGGGGGCGCGCTCCAAGGAAGTCCAAGCTCCAAGCTGCACGCACCCACATTCCTCCCTCATCGCTTGTGCCTCGGTCGGGGCTTTCCTCCAAAAGCGCCCACGGAGGGCTCATCTGCGGCCCCCCGCACGGAGGGCAGCAATGCCAGAGTGGCCAAGGACAACCTCCCCGAGCCTCTGCGGGTCTCTCGGAAGGCGGCACGTGAGCAGCCCCGGCCCGGGCACGTCCTGCTGCGGCAGGCGAGGCCTCCGCGAGGCCTGGCTTGCCCCCAGGCCAGTGCCCTCCCTCACAGAAGCTCCCCTCTCACGGCCACCCGCCATGGCAGTTCGGGAGCACACCAGACAGGACAGCCCTGCGCTCTTTGCTTCCTCGTGTCCCCCTCCGGCCCTCCTGCTCCCTTTCTTCCCGCCTTGCTACCCACACATGCAGCCAAGGGAGCAGGCCAGAGGTCCGGGCGGTAGGGGACCCCCGAGAGAGCGGGGGGCTGAGCAGGCAGACCACTGCATCACGCCGCTGTGGGGGCAGCATGGAGACCGCAGAGGTCTGCCAAGTCCTGTGGGTCACCCTCTGGCCAGCCAGCAGGGCTCGAATTTGTGCTGACTTCAAACTCATGCAGTGGCTGACAGG